GTATTGTCTAATGGATATGGGCAGTATTGAAGGGTCTTTATCTCACCTGCTCCTACTTGCCCTAGAGAATGAATTAAGGACCAGAGATAATAATAAAAGAGACTCTTTATTCCCTCGGATTTCCACATGACGAGAAGTGTTTGAGAAAAACACTGTACAACTTATTCCAGGGACATGCTCAAGGCCACAATAATGATGGCTTATGGCTTAACCACTACACATGAATATGTTTTCATTTCATTTCAATTAGGTAAATGCAGCTTCAATTTTTCATGTATTTACAATCATCTCTTCTTTATTTTCATGCATATAATTGAAGGTAACGTAGCTGTATCAGTATGAAAGAACCAAAAAAAAAAAGGCACAATAAAATTACTTTTTTATTTAAGTATTATCTTACTCCCAGGGTACTTTTGATAATTAATATTAAAATTTGAGGGGCTGAAAAATCTCAGAAACAGAGTGCCGTGTGCAGTTTGAGGTTGAATAGAGGCTCTGTTTGGGATTTTAGCTTACTCCCCAACACACTTCACGGGCACAAACCCATTTCCTGTCATGGGCTGATGGGATTGGTCACGCACTGCTCTGACATCACAACAGCTCTCAGATGGACAGAGAGTGAGTGTGTGAGTGGTTCGAAAAAGAAGACAGGTGCACTGATCTTAGCAGATGTAGAAACGTCTCCAGCGTTCGTTACTACGGAAGCACACTTTCATCTGAGGCCTCGGTAACCACACCTGACGTACGCACAAACTTACTCCCACCAACTGTCAACTACAACGGTGGAGGATAAAACAGGTGGAGCTCTACATTCATTTAACATATCGAGACATTTCAAGTCATTTAGAACTGCTTTACAATGCATTTTCAGAGATGGTAACCCTATTGAACAAATTCAGACTACTCTCATGCTCAGACGGGCAGTCCAAAGTCTGACACTCACCATCCGAAGCATACTGCGCATAACAATAGGAATCGCATGTTTGCATTTTGGAAAAGTTGTGTTTACAAGATACTGAGTTGATATGCAATGAGCATTTTTACTAAGCATTGAATTTTCCATGTCTTTTTTTTATTGGTGTATTGTCTGTAAATGGCACGTAACAATTTTTTTAACTGTGGTCGGTCATTTTATGCCGAAAGTCAAAAGTATGTCTACTATTTTTGCAGATTTCCTTTAAAAAATGAATCATTGTAATGACACTGAAAATAATTGTTTGTAAACGTCCCTCATTTCAGAAAATCCAGCAAAATCCATTTGAGCCTGCTTATTTTTTACAGCTCCAAACCTTCTTCAGTCGGTCGAGCTAAAGCACGCGTTACCCTCAGTCTGTGCAGATCAATTTCACAATGTTATTAAGTGCCTATCAGCCCCATTTATAGACACCCGTATAAATATTAACAGTGTGCCCGCCGTAACATGTCTGGCCCTCCACAGCAAATGTTGAGTTTCAGTCCTGCCCAAATGCATACACACTCCGCCAGCGCTAAAAGAGCCTGTGTTCTGTCTGTCCAAAAGGGGAACATATGTTTCTTTCTTTTCATCGTTAAAGAGAGAGAATGAAGAGAGAGAGAGAGAAGGAAGGAAGCTGGGCGTATCAGTCAGTTGATCAGTGCAAGTATGAAAGCTGAAAGTGTGCAGAGAGGGCCTCTGTGTACACATACTCCATGCGCAGAAAGTACGAGATCGAATGAATGATGACGATGGCTATACTTCTTATATCCCAGAACTGTTAGTGGGCAGGATGGTTTTACTCGAATGCTAAAACAGTTAGTCAAGATGAGGAAGACATAACATTAGTTTGGTCAGTTGTGGTTGTTCTTCTTTTTACACTGAATTTCTGGTGAAAATATGTCTGTGTTTGCTTGTCAATCTGCGCATTATTGGTGTAAATTAGTCAGGGGTCATATTATGAACATTTAGTTCATTGCATTTGTCACATGACAAATGAATGAAAGACTCAAGAGTTGAACTAATTTTTTATTCAGAAAGAAATTAAGTGATATCTTAATGAATGATTCATTGAATCATTTACTCAACCGATTCATTCGAAAACATTGATTCATTCAATACCCAATCCAAGTGTCTTTGAGTCATTAAATGATAATCGATAATGATAAATATGTTTACATTGTAAATATATTGTTTATATAATTTGTATATAATCTGATATAGTATAACCTGACAATCTGATGATGCTTCTTCTTTTGTGACTTGACAAATTACATTTCAGCACAAATTAATCTATCCGGCATGAAAAATAACACACACCCTAACCCATGGTAAAACATTCAAATGCATGTGAAGGTGAGAATTTGATTTGAACATCTTTATTAAGAGGTTGTGGTGTACATCTATATCTCCATCATACAGTGTCTTGCAGTTGTGTTCATCCCAGTCCATTTCCCCATGACATGTGCGTGTATGTGTGCATGAGAGGGATCCACTCTAATTAGTGTGTCTGTGTGTGTCCTGTGGTTATGATATCATTCTCACAAAAAGTCAACATTCCTGTCTAAGTGCCCCCTTACCTATGAAATATTCATTCATCCATAATAATTCAGACAGGGTGAATGTAGCCAGGGCAGATGTAGGGTTTGACCCCGCAGGAGAGACACACTAGTGCCTGAACAGAAAGGGTTTAACTGTATGACCTTACAACTGCATTAAGAAGATATACAGTATGTCACAATAAAGTGACTTAAGAGTACAGCTTTAAAACAAATGCTTACTAAAAGTTAGTGCCTGAGGCTAAATAAAAGTCATATTTATGACTATGCATTGCATTTGACTGCTCTTTTGTGCCATCTCAGGAGATCTCAGTTGTTTTGCATTTATTTTTGAGAGAAATAAAAATAGACACAAATGAGTCATACAGTAAGAGTATATTTTGGAGACATTGTTGAGATCTTTTCTCAAACACTTGTGAGAATTCTTCTTTTTCTCGTGAAACATCTGAAAAGTATAGGGGAAAAAAGTCTTTAGTTGTTTTCTATTTAATCTCATTGCAGTCTAGGAGAAACAACTGAGAAATTTTTTTCTTTCCTCTGGGATTATGTGTTTGTTTATCTCACACTTTATAAACAAACCAAAAAGTACCAAAAAAAAAGACTATTTATCATTTAGATCGAATGAGAGAGGGAGACAATGCATGGCAACAAATGGAGGGAGCGATAAACTAACAGAAATATTACCCCAGGGGTAAAGAAAAACGTGGAGTGATGCATTGCCCTTGGGTGAAAGAGAGGGCAAGAACACACAAAATCCATATCACAGCGTCTGTTATCTCTCTATATCTGAATAAAACATTCAAATACAGCCATTACTCCACATTAAAAACCACAAAATGTTCACATGTTCTTCACACAAGCCACTGATAGTCACATTAAACTCATCCATTAGAGCTGACCAGACTACACATATGATGATGATGATGATGATAGTGTGTGTGTGTGTAATGGCTATTGAAGTGGGATGGCAAATTATTGTCAGTGATAAACACACACACACACTCATAGCGAGGTTTTTCTTGGTGATTTCCTCTGTGGATCATCAAGCATTACATGAGTCACGACTGAGTACACAGCTCTGTCTGAAAGCCATAAGCTCTTTTCCAGAGCATTTTACACAATATTTGTGTATTTTTTGCTTATCAGAACATGATGTTGTTAGTTTTGTGTAATGCTAATGTCAAACTGTATTGCAATCATTTGTGAGTGTGCTTGTTCCTGTGCAGAGTTGGGTAAGTTACTCAAAAAAAGTAATCCACTACAAATTACCAATTACTACTTTAAAATTGTAATTTGATTACATTACTGATTATTGCATGTAAAAAGTAATCTGATTACTAATTACTTTACTTTCAAGTTACTTTGAAAACATATTAAAACTACACAAAAATACACTACAAAGTGAAACTCAGTTCTTTCCGTAATTTAATTGGGCGAGCTCTGTGGACCCATAGACTATTATGTCTATGTGTGGACCTCCCCCCCTTCTGCCCGCGAGTCGTCAGGGAAACGGGCCAGCCCGCTGTAGTGCCGCGCCGTTAAAGCGCCGTACTCAGCGGGTCCCCGAGCCTTCTCCAGCCCGTTAAAGCTCGCCGGTGCGCCTTCCAGCTTCACCAGCTTCACTCGAGTCGCTTACTGACGGACAACGGCCGCCGCGCGCCGCCGCTTCCGCCTTTAATGACGACGAGATAGCTGCATCTGTAGAGAAGGACCGCGGCTAGCTTTCTTTACGTTATAAGAAAGCTACCCCGTCCCCGCCCCCCGTAGACGTCTGCGTCCATTTTAGCAGCCGCGTTCTCCGGTAATTCATTAAAGCGCATGCTCATTAACTGACGCAGCCGCGCCAAACGTGATTAGAAATGTATTTTACTTAATATTTTTTCTTAACAATACATTTGTAACGCAAGTAACTTAATTTTATTGACATTAGTAACTGTAATCAAATTACATACATTTTAAATGTAATGAGTTACATTACTGCGTTATCACGAAATGTAATTACACTACAGTAACGCGTTACTTTGTAACGCGTTATACCCAACTCTGTTCCTGTGTGAGTTGCTGCCTATGTGAAGTGTTCCCAATCAGGTTCCATAAGTTAGTTAAAAGGCAGCTGCCTGTGTATTTTGAATTGCTATATGAAAATATTTCCTTTTTATAAAGAGAAAGGGTGTGTTCTGTACATGAATATTATGGAAATTATATTATGGATGTATGAGAGTAGTGTGACAACATTTCTTACTGACTTGGTAACTTTCATGTAGTACGTGCATGATACCAGAGAGGGAATGTTATATATGTAATCCATAACCATATAGTTTATTTGCATAAACAAGACAACTAAATTAGTCATTGAAGTGCTTTAACAAGTTTCACATTTCTGGCTTGATTTATTTCAAATAAGTGTCTTTACAAAAACTGAGGGGATGAGTCAAATGTATGTTCCGGTTCATTCTCATTCTAATGACGCATTGCATTTCTCTCTGCAGGTCACCGTGTGAAGCCGGACGACCCTCACAAGCAGTTTTCCGATCGCCTGAGTGACATCGAGCGTTTCCAGAGGGCCAGTCTGAGGATGAACCCTGGCAACGGGACCGCCCGCCCCCACCAATCCCATTACAGTCCCTCCAGCACCACACAGATACCAGGTGTGTTTTGTCCCTGGATGCCCTACAGATCCTGTGTATGTGTTTGTTAGAGTCAGACGTTAGCTCGTCACAACAACTCGCACCTCGACGTCTGGAATCTAGCAACCCCTCTCGATCTCGGCTCCCACGTCAGCGTGTGTGATAGTGGGCGAGGATACGTTCTCAGACGCATGTAAAGACCTTTGAGCATGATGTCTGCTAGCAAAACAGCAAAACTCTCACACTCTCCAAGGCACGTATGCACTTCGCTTACAGTCTATCTTTCTATTTTCTGTCCCTCTCGCTCAAATAAACATACACACCCAGGCACTTTTCGCACCCCACCCTTCACTCGTCCACCTGTTCTCATACGCGGCGGCAATGTGTGTGTGTTGCTGAAATGTGCTTCTTTTATTCATTCTTGTTTGCTCACTGTTTCTGCAGTGTAGACTGAATCACTCACATTTCTAAAGAACTCAAACTGGTGTGTTTTTATGGCCATCTGAGCAGTCGTGACTCGCGTTTCAATCAAACTCTCATAGCTCTGCTCAGCACAGTCATTAGCTAAGAAAGATCAAGCGTTCATGAGCATTTCGTTTAGTTCTTTCAACCGTTAGGGTCGTAAACTCATGAATTTATTCCTCACTACTCTCCATTTGTAAGTTGGATAGTGTTTGTAAGCTGGATACACGGCGAAATCTTGTGTATCAAACATCAGATATGTTTTGATTGGCTTTGATTTTGTCATTTCGTTAAACAATTTCGCCTTTTTTATTTGTTTTTGTTTGCTCACTGCATCTGTAGTGTAGGCAGAATCGCTCATATTTTGTAAAAACTCAAACAGAGTTGTCGTGTGTTTACGATTATCTAAGCAGTCGTGACTCACATCTCTCTACGATCCATCAAAAAGCGAGAAAGACCAAATGCTCCCGAGGGGCATATCATAGTTCTTTCATCTTTCTTTTATTCTTTTGACCATTCGCATTTGAAGTCAAATAATTTATAATATATAATGAGAATAATGATAATTATTATAAAAATATGTAATAATTATATTAAGAAAAAAAATATTAGAATTGATATAATGATAAAATATATTTTATATTAGTATAAAATATGATTAGTTAAACATTATTATGCATAACATATATATAGACTATATACGTATATATAACATCAGATATATCATTTTGTTGTTTTTTATTTATATAAAAAGTATCTGATTTTATCTAATATATATTTAATTTTGTTCTATTTCAAGGCATTTAGACAAACAATAGCTTGTGTTTGGTTAGGACATGATGTAATGGTCAACCGGAACCCATAAAAGTGTGGTTTCTTTCTTAACCTTCATTATTTATGAGTAGTTTATCCATCATAAGCTGTTGAATTAGAGGCGCTGGATGTTTCAGTGGTGTTTTTGTTTGGGGTTTTTGGTAAATTCCTCCATCAGATTGACCTGATTTCTGAAGGGTGGACTCTTACACAAGCATTCCTGCAAAACCAAAGCTGTAACTCATCCAGAGCTCAGCGCGAGAAGAATGGGAGATTTACACTTACCGCGTCAGGAGTGTGCAAAGTACCTCGAGGATCCATATCTGCAGGTGGATTAGGACAGGAATTATGTCTTCATGGAGCTGTCAGAGGCCAAGACTGCCGACACACACATTTCTAGCAGACATAACACATTAACAGAGCTTTAGCTGTCGGGAGACTGTCACTGCTGTAGGCCTGTGTGTGTGATACATCAAAACCTTACTGTTATGTCTGATATTAACACTGTCTCTCTGTCTGTCTCTCGTATCGTCCCCACTTCATCTTTATATCTAAATCTTAACACACACACACACATTCTGTCAGACAGCTCTGTGTGGTATGAGGTTTGCAGACAGACATGTGTAAGATAGACATGTTTAATCAGATTTATTACCTTCATCACACAGTAATTAGATGGTCTCTCATTCCACCTGAGTGATGCAAACTGTGTGTGTGTGTGTGTGTGTGTGTCTGGTGTTGATTGCATCATCCCGGAGTCTTGAGGTTAGCAGATTGTTGATGACTGTAAACAGATATTAAGTTACAAAATTCACAGCACAAACACAGACATGGTTCATAGTTAAACAGATTTGTAAAAGCACACAGCGCCGTCCCACAAACACACGTACACACACATATTGTCATGCCAGAGGAGCAGGGAGGCGAATTAAAGTTGGCATTAGTTAGCATGCAGCAACTTGCTTCAGATGAAAATAAAACGAACAAGGAATAAACAAACGAAAACGGAGAGGGAGTTCATTGAAGAGAATAAAGGTACAAGCGCACAGAGATGCGGGCAGAGCTGTGTGGTGTGTACTCATGCGCTCACACACATCCCACATGCTGCGTTACTGACAAACACATCAAATATATCTGTGAAATTAATATTTTTAATTTCTATTCATTATATGTTGTTATATATTTATTAAATAAGAAATTTGTAAATTATCATATTCATATATTATTTAATATGGTTTATATGACATGAGAGCTGGAAGGAAACGTTCTTAATTTTCACAAAATAATGGCAAGCAGTATAAGACTGTGTGTGTGTGACTTCAGAGAGCGTTTGAGAGTTTTAAGGAGGTGTGGTGAAAGATCTGACATATAACCAGACTTCATGGTGGCTGTGTTTGTTTTTGCTGGTACTGAGGAAAGCCTGCATTTCCACTCAGTGTTATACAGCTTCTCTCTCTCTCTCTCTCTCTCTCTCTCTCTCTCTCTCTCTCTCTCTCTCTCTCTCTCTCTCTCTCTCTCTCTCTCTCTCTCTCTCTCTCTCTCTCTCTCTCTCTCTCTCTCTCTCTCTCTCTATGTATTTCATATAGATAGAAAAAACACACCATCTATCCTTAGTACTTCACAACAGGGTATTTAAATGAATCAGTAAATTGTTTATTTGATCAATGAATTAATCATTTACATGAACAGCCTGACTGAACTGATTCACTAGAACAAACTGATTCAGTAGTTCAGTCAATCTGCACTGCTGTTGGTTGGCATTATAGCCAAAAATAGACGAGTTACTTTCATACGAGTCCTGTCAGAGATGCACAAAGCTCTCAGTTACGCACATATTGTACTGCTCACAGACAGTTTATGTGACACTACTTTAATAGCAGTAGAGATCTGTCTGTTATTGACGTTGTGCAATGGCCAATCAAAATATTTGAGTGAGATGTTTATTTTCAGCAGAAGCACCAGCTGTGGTCTGAATAAGAGCATTTATACAGAAGAATTTATCATTGTGCAGAGAAAACCAGAGAGAGAGAGACCTGGGAACAGTGTGCCATTAGTGGTGTTTGCTAAGCCAAGCATCATTATTACTATTGCACATACTTATGGATAAAGGGATTTATTCAAACTCCTTAGCCTATTAAACTCTGGTGTGTAACATGTCCCATAATGCTTGTTAAGGACATATTTGCTTGTATTTTTGGATCTGATCTGATTTATGACTTTAGAAATAAAATGGGCAAATTGAGTAGACTTGTAGTGAAGGAGGGACTCGGGCCGTCTGACCAGAATATGACTTGGGTATCAATCATCCCTCCAGAACACTCTAGAAACCAGCGACTTGCATCATGCTGGCAAGTTTTGCATGGACAAGCACCACTCATATTTTTCTCAGAAAATGTAAAAATGTAGTTGCATACGTCTCATATCTCATACGTGTATGTGTGTGTTGCAACGATTAGCTTGTAACAACTATCTCATCTCGGACTGAGAGCAAACAAGATTCATTTGCATGTCAAATTGGCAGTTCAGTGCGCTGACACACACACACACACACACACACACACACAAACATACTCTATATTTCCCAAAGTAACTTATTTTAGACTCGTGCAGCGACTGTTGTGTTTGTGTGTGAGAGACAGCTGCGTGTTAATGCTGATGGAGTGATTTAAAAGCTCAGATCATACACACACACAGGCATCACGCGCTAAAGATAAGATATGTGATAATCACACACACCTTCAACAGAAACCCAAAATATCATTCCTCGTGACACGCTGATACTTTTCTTGGCTTATCAGCAAAACAGAAAGATTTCAAAGTTATCTACTCATACACATGCATTTTGACAGATGGAGCTCTAACGTGTGTGTGTGTGTGTGTGTGTGTGTGTGTGTGTGTGTGTGTGTAACATGAAACTAGCATAAGATTTCAAGTTTGTTTTTCTCAGCACCTTTGATGAAAACACTAGCAGCTCTTTCACACTGAGCGTGTGTGGACAAATTCACTCTGTCGCAATCCTACAAACACACACAGAAAGGGCTGGGCGGTTATAATATTCACTGTTTATTCATGATGATTTTGCTGCCAAAATGAAATTAAAATTAAGCAACAGCATCTCCGGGTTAAGCTTCATTAGCAAAAATTATGTTGGTGAGTTCAGATGACTTCCAATAATCACTTTAGTCAACTGTCTGTTTCGTTCGGTGAACTGATTCAAAACCGATTCAACAATTAATGTTTCATTTTTCTCAAATTCTAAAATGTTTACATTTAATAAAATGTTCAAGGAAAATATGTGTTGATAAAAATTGCTGTTTATTATTATATATTTATATTGCTGCATATAAGTGAAAATATATATATATATTTTTTGTCAATTTAAAAAAAAAAGTATGTAAATAAATAGCAAATACATAAATATCAATATAAAGATATCTTAAATTTTGTCAAAAAAGTATATAGAATTTTCTTTTAACTGCATATACTTTTAACAGCGCTTTATTATTTATTGCATTAATATTTATGTTGGTTTTTAAAAAATTTATCGTTACGTGTTATTATATCACTGCATATGAATTACATTTTATTTTATTATTATTTGTGTTAATTTACAGAAATTGTTAAGCTCAAATACAAATTAAGAGCAAATTAATAGATATCTTAAATAATGTCAAAGGGATTTAAAATATTACGATTTTTTTTAGCAATATCACATATCGCTTTATTATTTATTTATTTTTGAATTCATATTTTAAGTGTGTGTGTATTGTATTACCAGTTGACAAGTGATTAAATATGTATATGTTTTTGGTGCAGGATTATGGCCAGATCAGATGGACCCTCCTGCACTGAAGACATGTAAAGTGGAAGACGACTTACGCTGGTCAAGTAAGAGATTTACAAACACACACTGGTACACATTATGTCCAAATAGAATAATTCACACAAAGATGTCGTTCCAAACCCTTTTTGACTTTCTTTATTTCCTTTTTGTGGCGATCTATTCCATACCCACCCATCTTTTTAAATAATATAGATCATCAAAAACCACACACACACGCTGTTGTCCTCAAATTACTTATTTGATATACAGATGTGTGTGGGTGTCTTGCAGTCCTAATGGGTGAATCATAATATTAATGATCCAATCAAAATGCAGCATTTTTGTGGAGGGGCTGAAACAAACAGAATGTAAAAAAAAGTATATACTTTCGCTTTCACACGCACACACATGCATGGACCCAGAAACAACAATAAACATTCTCTGTGTGTGAAATACACACACACACCCACCTGCTTTGGCACATACACACATATAAACACTCTCACTCGAAAACACAAACTCTCGCTGCCATGGACACACGGCCACATACCTGGTGCTGGCATGGTTTTCCTTCCCCGCGGCGACGCAGGATTCCTGCCCTTCCTGTTCCCGCAAACCCCAAACATCCAATCCAGCTGAGTCATTTTTACCTCCACCACACACAAACACCCACCAGCCCGTGTGACATTTAAGTTATAGCTTTCTTTAATTGCACTTTGACTGATTTATTGTTCCTAATAGACTTGCAGTTTGTCAGGTGGCATTTTTCAAAACACCAGGTGGCAGTTTCATCATAATCCCTGCTCTGTAAAGGGAGGAAATATTTGACGTTTATTAAAGGCCACATGCACACTGCAGCCAAATATATTGTCACTCTTCTACTGAGTGTTTCATTTCAGTCTGTACAGTCTGTGGGCCCTATTTTAACGATCTGAAACGCAAGTGTCAAAGCGTAAAGCGCAAGTAACTTTGTGGGCGGATCCCGGCGCTGTTGCTATTTTCCCGGCGGGATAAATGCCTCTTGCGCCTGGCGCAAATCTAAAAGGGGTTGGTCCGAAGTAGCTTCATTATTCATAGGTGTGGTTTGGGCGTAACGTGAAATAAACCAATCAGAGCGTCATCTCACATTCCCTTTAAGAGCAGGCGCGCTTGTTCTAAAGCGGATTCCTATTATAACGGCGGATTTGCCAGGCGCGCGCCAGGAGCGGTTCACAGCCGAGGAGAGCAACGTTCTCGTCAGGGCCGTAAAACACAGAGAAGTGACATTGGGGATGGAGAAAGTTTGAGAAACCCACCCAAATTAACTTCTGTTAAACAGGCGTATGATAATTTGCGTAAATGTGTAAGCTTCATGTATGCTTTTACAATAAATTATCTATCTATCTATCTATCTATCTATCTATCTATCTATCTATCTATCTATCTATCTATCTATCTATCTATCTATCTATCTATCTATCTATCTATCGTAGCCTAATAATGTATGATTTGCAAAAATGAAAACTGCTGCTAAGATGAGAGAATCAAAGTGTATGCGCATTGTGCACACGCTACATTGATTATGGCCAAGCATGCGCCCTTAAAATAGCTTGATGAACAACGCGCAACGCGCCACTGACTTTAGACTAGGTTTTTTCTGGTCAGTGGCGCAATTGTTTTATAGAACAGCAAAATAGCATGAGGGAAAGTTTGCGCCGGAACACGCCTCCTCTTTGCGCTGAACCGCCCCGGGGAGCGCAAGTGTATTTCTTAGTTTACCGACGTGCGTCTGTGGAGGGAAAAGTCCGCTTTGCGCGGGTGCAAAATAGGAATGATACATGCGTCAGTGTACAAAGTCATTTGCGCCGAGTGCAAGATAGGGCCCTGTAGGTATTTATGGGAGTGATTTTCTTCTGCATATTTTCATGTATCAAAAATAGCACAAAAACTTTGCTTGTCGACTCCTACATTTATCTGTGGTTGTCATTCTTTGCAGTGTTTACGTTGCCAAAGACAGTTTTAAAACTTCATTCAAGCAGATTTTTCAGTCTTATTTGGAAGACAAAATTCAATTTCAGAATTTAGATATTTGTTCTCGAACCATCAAATATGGAATCATGATCAGATCAGATCATAGTATTGCAAAGTTGACCAGAAAATCATTTTATTGCTCAGAGTTTCCTCTTACATTGCTTAGAAGATTTAATGAGGTTTGTAAATATTTCTCATTTAAGTATCAATTTTGTATCGGATGTTTCTCTTCTCTTCTACATCTTTAAAGCAAAAATGTATTAAAGCTGCCGTCGGCAACATTTTTTTGATCATATTCAGTGAAATCGACACGATAATCCGACAGAACAACATAAATAAAGTGGTTTTAGAAAAAAACCCGAGCTTCTAACTCCACCTGGAGCGTGTAATTTGTTTTGCAAAAATCCACAGCTCCCGGTTCATCATGTCCAATCAGCGCAGGGGGGTGTGAGATCTGACTGTCAATCACAGATCCGGCACACGCCTCGCGCACGTTACAATCACATGCAGCGCAGTAACGAAGAGTGATGGCGGGAAATCAAGTAAGCTCATTTAGAGTATAAATGACGTTAGCAATTGCAATCTATCGGTACATTAGCCAGGACAGCATACCTCCAAATACTCCATGGTGTTGATGGATGCTGATGAGACGGGCGCGTTCACAGATAACCTGGTGCACACGCACTGACGAGCACGGACTCGGTGGGAGGGTATCCGTTGATAGAGGGCCCTGAGAGTTGTAAACATTCAAAATGTTGCCTAAGTCCACTCAATCTACCATACTTGCCGACTGCAGCTTTAATTGTTGACATACAGTAAAAAGAACGTGAATAGCTCAGATCATTTGGTCTTGGAAGAACTTGATGAGAAATGGCTTTCCTGAGGCTTTCCTGAGCTCAGCATGAGACGTGTTTGAGATTGCGTCTGAAACTTTAGAAGAGATACTTGGGTCTTTTTCTTATAGGGGAAACATCTGAGGAGTTTCCTTCTGCTCTTCATCTCATTGCTGTCCATTAAAAACGATTGTGATATGAAGTAGTGCTTTCTCTGTCCTGTTGGTTCAGATAGCATGTGTTCTCTGCTGCAGACTTGCGTGAGTGTAATGTTGACTCACCGCTCTGAACTGCGGCGATCAAAAACGCCTGCAGGAATAATGAGATCCAACCGTTCTTATATTTCATAATAATTGCTTCCGAAAGAACTGAATATTGATTCCTTTCAATGTCCTAGAAAAGCAAAAGCTGCTTAATAGTTGTGATTTTTGGATCAATAATAATACAGTCATTTCAACAAATGGATTTTAGAGTCAACAAGGTCAAAAAAAAGAAAAAGAGAAGCATTCCTGATCTATTCACAAACGTGTCTCATTGTGATCCAGGTCTTGAGTCAATGACCTGATTTGTAAATCTCCAGGACAGTATCAGATGTTTGTGAATGGTAACCTGACCCGTCCTGATGTATGAGATCGCAGCGCGGCACATGTCGGAGAGGAGATAGTTTGCATGCGACATGCTGTGTTGTCTTATGGACTACAGCTCTAACATAAACACGCAAGATCTACATGTTTGCCTTCGTCTCAGGTTCTCTGCCTGTCGGAGTGATATGCCATTACCTTCAGTTATCATGAATCATCAACATCCAGTGCAAACATTGAGCTACTTCAGTCTTTTACCTACTTGGAAAACTAGGCTATAATAGTATTAGGTTAAAGTTGCTCTGCCTGCATTTACAGTGACCCCAAAAAGCATCTAGACACTAAAGTCACACTTATAATAGATATACACACTTGTAAGTTTTAATATATATATACAAAATGGTTGTCAAACGTTAGTGGAACATGTCCATAGTGTGCAACAACAGTTGGTTAAAAGTAATAGTTTGGGGCCACTGTATATTTGACAAGTTGTAGCAATAGTTTGGTTGGTTCCTGTGGGTTTGTTTCACCAGTTGAGCATAAAACCACATTGTAGAAACTCAAACCATGAACAAGTAAGCAAGTCTGGGATCCACTTTATTGTATGATTGTTAGATATGTGGTATTTTTGATATCCTGCATTGTCCTGACGCAAATATACAGGATTTGATTAGATTATATACAGAGTAACAAGTATATATTTCAGTCTTTATGTCTTTCTCTCTCCTGGCCACATGATTTGCCTGGTCCAGGTGTAATCCATCTGTTTTTGCATGGCCATTTTACAGGTGAGGGCCGAGATTTGCATCCTCACCAGAACCCTGATCCTCACACAAACATGCACAATTCCTGCTGACTAGCTACTGCTTGCTCTTCTGTTAACAAACAAACTCAGCAGTCAAATGAGGCAAACCTCTGTAGTGAGCCGGGTTACACGCTTGACTGTGGGCTAGTGGAACACGGCGAACTGAACTGCTCACTGATGGGGGAAGGATAACAACAACGTTCACCATATTCTCAAACTGAAATGGGAATTCTCAGGAAACCATTAAATGTATTATTTTAAAGAAGTTCTAAATTGCCATGGAAGAACAATTCCCCCTTCTGACTAGTCATCAACAAATAAGACTTATAATAATGTTAATATTATTTACATTATATTATAAAATATTATATTTTTTTATTTGTATTAATATTGCTTCTGCTAAAAAATCCGGTTAACTGTTTTATTCATTTTAATTTGAATCGTGTGGACAAAAACGGGAAAACCCAAACCAATATAATAGAATATTTCTTATATTAATATTCAATATTAATATTGTTTCTGTAAAAAACGTGTTTTTTCCCTTAACCGTTTCAATTAATATTAATGTATTAATGTTCATTAATAGTAATATTTTTTTCTTTAAGTTATTTCCCCCATAATTGTTTTTTCATCTTTATAATGTTATTTTAAGGTGTTGCCTTCGGCTTGCTCAGTTGGGGATATTCAAATTAAATGACCCATCATACCACTGATCAGCTCTACCAAACTTGGATGTCTTTTCCAGTAATAAACAAACACTGTTAAGTTGTTTTGATTGATACTGTGAAGCAGCTTTGATACAATCTGTATTGTGAAAAGCGCTATATAAATATATTTGACTTGACTTGACTTTTCATCACTAATATAAATATTTTTAAAGGGGAAAATTACATAATAATGGGTTATACCACATGCTTTCCTTTTCTTTGCTCTTTTAAAGAGTTTTTCCACTGATACTAATGTAGATCCTGTGAAACATCATGGAAACTCTGCAAACTAGTAATTCTCTAGAGCAGTGGTCTTCGAAAGGGGGTCAATAATGTGTTTTTTATGATTTTTGTGGTACAAACATCATAAAGTATGTCAAAACATATTAATATGGCACTATATGCAAGTTTTCATTGGCCAGGCATGAAATGAAACTCTCAATTTTTATAATAACAATACCAATATGTTTCTTTCTATCCACCAAGGGGATGTTCTAGACTAGAGCATCATTCTGGAAACTTTCATTTAGTTAGTATCCTGTGAGGCACTAGAGGGAGACACTGAGTCTGAATCTGTGTGTGTCTGTGAGGGTAATGAGGGTTAACAATGTCTACGGTTTGGGTGTTATATCTGGTTTGCAGCTGTTTCTCAACTCATTTGTCAGATTTCCGCTTTTAGTAATTAATCTCGTATGGTGTGTGTGTGGTCCTGTGTTATGGGGACAAAATATCCCCACAAAGATGTTTTTTGAACAAAAAATGCAGAAAGTTTTCTGTGATGGTAGGTTTAGGGGATAGAATACACATTTTGAACAGTATAAAAATCATTATGTCAATCGAAAGTCGCCATAATAAAACGTGTGTGTGTGTGTGTGTGTGTGTGTGCGTGCGCGTGAGTCTGGCTGGAATATGTGGCCATTTCAGTTGAATCAACAGCAGCTGACATCTTGAATTCTCCTCGGTTCGAATCAGATCCTGGCCCCCTAAAAGTGTAAAAGAGAAAGTCAACACCCCTCTGAGAGAAAGAGAGAGGGGGAAAACAGAAGTTGAGGATATTGAAATGGAACTGTGCTTTTCTCTCTCTTTTCCTCTGTTTCTGTTTGTAAATGGACTCAGTGCCCCAGACAAACGGGGGAGAGACTTTTAAACGAGTCAGTGGCACGCACAGACGGCATTCTCCTCCCTCAGGCGCCTGCATGCCAAAGCCTGCACCAGTATCCCAGCAGCCCTCGCTCATATGTGGGCAATAAGCAGAAAAATCAAGCCAGAAAACAGAACAAACTGGCAGAAACGGGCAGCAGTTTGTGTTTGTGTGCAGGTGCACAGATTCTGTTTCCCTTACACCTGTTCGCACAGGACATGAACACTAAATGAAAAAAAAAAAACCAGAACATACCAGTCTTCATCATCTTCTTCCTCTCCTCTCTTTTTACAATTTATCAGGCGTTCACAAATGACATTAGTTAGCGCTAGATCAGCCTCTCAATAGGGTTCTGATGAATTTGACAGATCATTTTAATAGAAGGCATATTAAATATGAATATATTAGTATAATAATATAATCACTTAAATGGTAAAGTTATGAAAATGTAAGATTTTATAATCATTTTATTTATTTTATTATTAATTTATTATTTAATACTATTTTATATTTTTAAATAAACATTTTACTTTTTAACTTTATTTAATTCAGTCTTGGTCTGAATTTTTTATTATTATTATTGAAATTAGTAAAAATGTAAACATTACTTGCATTCTGTTTTTCTTATTGTTGTTTCAAATTCTTATTACTGTAATGCAACAAAAAAAGATCAAATCATTTACGTTTACAAAAACAGGCATCATTATCTTTTTGCAAAATAATATTTTTGTTTTGATTTTGGGGTGAAATGTTCTATTCCTTGACTTGAGTGATTTATTTGAACTCTTATTTGAACTTATTTGAAGATGCATTCTTACTTTGGATCATTTCTGGGTCACAAACATTTTGCATTATTTATTTAATTTAAAATGATTTAATCCATCATTTGAAATTGTTTAGATGTTAAACTGTCACTTTCTTTATCTTCAGGTTCGGAGCTGTTCCAGCAGAGGACATCTTTCCCGTCTCTGTCTCCATTAACGGCTCCTCGTTTCTCGGATTCACACATGCATTACCCGGGTGCTTTCAGCTACTCTGCCAACCCGTCCAGCACTGGAATCGGTGGTCTCAGTGTAGCCGGTATGCCCACCTCCAGCCGCTACCACACCTACCTGCCTCCTCCCTATCCTGGCAACCAGAACCAGAACTCACACTTCCAGACCAACTCCTCGCCGTACCACCTGTACTACGGCACCGGGTCCGGCTCCTACCAGTTCTCCATGGTTCCGACCGGCGGCACCGGATCAGGAGGCGACAGGTCACCCACCCGCATGCTGACGTCCTGCACGGCGGCCGGTGGAGCCGGCGTCACCGCTGGAGGAAACAACAGCCTGCTGAACGCCAGCCTCGGGAACCAGAGCGACGGCGTGGATGCCGACGGGAGCCACAGCAACTCGCCCACAGCGATGAGTGCGTCGACGCGCATAGACGAGTCCGTCTGGAGGCCTTACTGAGAAAGAGTTAAGAGGAAAGGTGAAAGTCTTGCATGTTTGATCGTTTTATGTCCCTTTGTCCTTCTATGACGTCAACCGCTGATCGTGATCAAATGACCTGAAGTTAGTTTGGCAGACTGCTCTGGACGCTCCATACGGCACAGAAACGGACCAAAACTGAAGTCTCGCAGGAAATTAAGGTGTGTATATAGATAGAGTAAAAATGATCATAAAAAAAAAGGAAGAAAAGGCATCCCATAGTAATATATCAGCGACTTTTTTGTTACTGAAAAAGCTGAACAAACCAAAGAAAAGCAGGTTCCTCATGGACATATTCTGATGGGCCTGTAACTGAAAAAAGACAATTCATCCAGCCTTACAAACCAAACTGCCTGAAAGCTGTAATTCCCAGAGTGCTTTGCAACCACGAAACGCTGCAGAGATGAAAGCGTTTGTCATGCAGACAGTATGAAAGAGCTTCACGGAGCTGCAGGACCGTGGGACTTTTAATGTGTAAATATACCAAAAATGTCGCCCCCGCGAACTTTCAGGTACTTTCCAAAATTGCTGAAATAGTCTTGAAATGGTGAGATGTGATCATATAATACAAATGTGGTCAATGTGAGCTTTGTGACAATGGGTTTTTAATTACAAAAAGAAAAAGGATTTTAGGGTGAATCACAAAACCCGTCAGGAACATATCCAGGTCATATTTATTGAGAATGTTTTGCTGAAAATGAAAATTTGTCATTCATAATTTTTTTTTTTTTCAAAATGAAGCACATTTGACCCTCAGATTCTTATTGTAATACAAAACATAATGATGTATTATGCAAAATCACAAAATCATCAACTTATTTTTCTTTAGATTTTGGGGTGAAATGTGATCTGGATGTGTTTTTGTGAGATTCACCCTTTAGCTGTGGGTTCTTGATTTGTAGAAACGTAAAACACTGTCTATAATCCAGAGACAGACAGGTGTTTGATTTTTCTTATTTCATTTTTTCTTTGGTGTCTTGCTTTTCACCAAAATCACAAACAATTAATTTGTCTTTGAACTTGTGGAGACTTGTCTTTTTTGGAATAGTTTTAAGAGTAATTATTTCTTTCTCAGTGTTGATCGCTTTTTATGACTTTGCAGTTTCTTAAAACGATTCTGATCTGTTTGCTCTCAATTTTATGGTTTGTGTATTTTTTTTCCATTTTTTTTATTTAATTTATTTGAGCCAAAGTAGACTCGTTCCTATTCCGGGTCGTTTCTGGGTCACAAGCATTTCGTATTTCTTTTCTTTTTTTCTCAATTGAATTTTTAATCTTTGTTTTAATATAAAATTGGAAGTTGTGCTACTGTAATATATTCTTTCTAAATTATACAAAACAAATTTTAATGTAATGTCTATGTTTTTCCAATGCAGCTTTAATGCACTAAAACATTTATTTAAGATGTTATATGTCCTTGTAAACCACATAATGGAGACATTCTTACCAGATTGAGTTCCACATGATATTTAGTCATACTGCCTGAAAGCCTTCAGTCCTCACAAGCCAAAGAGTCCAACAATCACCTGTTGTCATCTATGTCTCTAAAGTGTGAAAAATATGTTGCTCTAAGCACTTACATTATGTGTCTATTTTTCCTACCTTGTTCTTGGAATGACTGAAATCGGAGACAATAATTGGGCACGTTTGAAAGGAGATCAGTCTCGATTATTTGAATAACAAAACCGTGCACATGCTCATACAAGGAGGGTAAAGTGGCCATGACACACACACACACACACATTCGCGTAACAGGTGTTAGTGAATATTTCAGCCCATAACCCAGAGGTTTTTCCCATGCTCACACCTGCTGCCTTCACCTGAGGGCGGAGAGCCCCAAAAGAGCAAAGGAAACAAGTAGAAAGATGGATGAAGAGAGCCATATCTCCTTTCGCAATCATTGGTCATCCTCCAGGCCTTGTTATCCAAGCAGAAGTGCCCGTGTTCAGCTTGATTCACGGCCGCTTTGATGCCTTTATGGCGGCGGTTATTTTCCTTCCCATTGTGCCTGCCCTTGATTATCGCCTCAAGCTGCAGTCTACAGGAAAGATGGATTCAAAATGTGAGCTGGTCTAGTTACAGGTGGGAGTCAATTCTCTCCTGCGAGGACTTCTGGGTAATAGAAACCCGTGCTACGGGAAGCATTTGAGTTTAGTAGCGTTTCATAATTCTCTCAGTGCCTCAGTCCGTATCTATTAATGTCTGTGGATATCAAAACCTGTCGTCTCATCGTATGTGAGTTTGTTGTGATTGTTGATTATGATTGAGCTGGGTAATCCAAATCAGGCTAAATTAATATTTGCTGGCCCAAAATAAGACCAAAAATGCATCTATTTATTTCCACTATCAATACTGATTTGTATCGTGTGTTGCATTGAACCGTCTGTTGACGCCAAGGCTCTGATCCAAAACCTAGTGAGCTTCCTACACGGCTGTAACAAAACGTGCGCAGCTTATTTATGCCTGTGTAAAGCGTTCCAAATCATTTAGTTATTTAAAAGCAGATGTCTATGTGGGCTGCAGCGAAGCTCAATATGTTTTGGAACAAATCCCAAATGTTGCCAGTGAAGTGAATATCACTGAAGGCCACGAGTCTGTGATGTTTGTAATGTGCACAGATTATAATCATGCTGAAAGAGCTAAAAAAGCACAACACACTCCTGTAGAACAAACTGTCTTTTTCACTCATTGTACGTTTGTAATTTTGGTTCTGAAATATGCTCTTTTTGTTCATTCATTGTGTGCTAATGATGTAGTTTTTTATGCATTTTAATTAAAAAAAGATCAGGATTTGCTTGTGATTTCATTTACTTGTCATTAATGTTTTTTTTTGTAATTCAGCCATTGATTTTACAATTCTTCAAAAATAATTCTTCAATATTTCCACATTTCAATAGTGTCATTTTATTGAGATCACTTAATAAAATAACTTCGCCAATTTTCAACCCGCTTTGTATTGTTACGTCGTCACTGAACAACAGTGTTTAGGCTATCTTTCTCCGTGTTTCCTGGACCGAGAAGTTTATTTGTCAGCAAAACTTTTGCCAGATCCAGAGCTTTTGTGAAAACGGCCATTTTTTTTTCTTTATCTTTTCCCACTGTTTGCAGTAGCACCTCAATGCAGTACATGAGATCCACGGGGAGGAGTCGGATCAAGATCCAAGGGGTGGAGATGGGTAGGATTAGGGGCGGGTTTAGGGATCAGGGGGCGGAGATGGGTAGGATTAGGGGCGGGTTTAGGGATCAGGGGGCAGGGAGATGGGTAGGATTAGGGGCGGGTTTAGGGATCAGGGGGCAGGGAGATGGGTAGGATTAGGGGCGGGTTTAGGGATCAGGGGGCAGGGAGATGGGTAGGTTTAGATATATGTAAGGTGGGAGGAGTTGGATCTGGATCCAACTCCTCCCCATGGATTTCATGTACTGCATTGAGAACCATCTCACCGTTTGGCCTAAAACACTGTGTTCGATATCATCCAGGTTGAATCCAGTTGACAGTTCTTTGCAGCCTTTATTTGCTGCCTTTACACTAAACATTTACTCTTTGAATTCTTGCACCCAGAAACAAAACAAGTCAATACCATAATGACTAAAAGTTTGCAAACAAAGTATTTCCTACTAAAGCAAGGCGATATATAACTCTGGTAAGCGTATCGGATGTAGACTGGAGGGAGTGGACTCAGATGGCAACATACAGTGCATTATGGGTGTTGAAGTTTTCTTAACGTTTTGGCAAAAGGGAAGACAGCCTTTTTCTCTGTTTTCTCTAATCGGGTAGCATCGGGGGCTTTTTAAACCGCCTTTCTACTGTATAAACCGACAAGTTTTATTGAAAGTCCATTTTGCCAGCGGTACCACTTTAAAGGTGCAATGTGTAAAAAATTTGAGTATCTATTAACAGAAATGCAGTATGACATCCATAACTATCTGTTCAGTGGTGTATAAAGAACTTACTTAATAAACCGTTATGTTTTTATTAGAATGAGATATTTATATCTACATAACCGCGGGCACCCCCTTCTATGAAGGTCGACATATTGTGACGTCATGTTTCTACAGTAGCCGAACGCAAACTCACAACGCTACAGAGCGCGTTTTGTCACTACCTTGAAAGAGAAGCCGCAGGAAGCTAGAAGAAGCTAGTCATAAACACCGTGAGTAGTGACTTTCCCCTTGTCAGTGGTGTAAAATATGTAGTTGGATTGTTTCATGTAACTTAGTTCTTCTCCCTCGCTGTGTTATGGCTTTGCTATGTGGGGATAAATGTGCTGGTTACGTTCGTGAGACAGCTGATTAGTACTCTTGTCATTGACCGTAAAACAGTATGTTACAGGAATCACCAACCCGTCGATCGCGGTCGACAAGTCGATCTTGGAAGCATTTTAAGTCGATCGCGAAGAGTTTTCAAAATCAGAGGAAAAAAGCCTATTGTGTGCAGTAAATGGTGTCTAGGGGATGCGGAGGCGCGCGCGCTGTTACAATCACGTCATTTTTGCCGCGCGCACCTTTGGGCTTATATCATGCGGACGCGTCGAGTTTAAACAAGGCTTTACGCTTTAACCAGCTCAGCCACAGTAACAGCTCATATTAGCCAGCTAAACTTTTACTACCCGTTTAGAAAAAATATATAGTTGCATAGTTTCACGTGGTTCTTCTTCCTCGCTGTATTATGGGTTTGCTATGTGGGGATAAATGTGCTGGTTATGTTTGTGAGACAATCAGCTGATTATTACTATTATTATATTATATATTAAGACCCTTGATCCTCACCTGACTATGGCTTTATAAACTTTATCCATGATGTGGTTTATAATGGACTGTGGTACAGAAACAGTGACAATGTTACACACTCTTGGCTTACTCTGGCTATTCTCTGCTGTCTCAGACGACATTATGTTTGTCCCGTTTTAGCCACCGTAGCTTCTTCGAAAGGGAGGGGTGAGCAGTGGGCTGAGCCCTTAGTGCAACTCGCAACCGAACCGCTAGATGCCGCTAAAATCTACACACTGCACCTTTAAGTTTAAAGGTTTAACATATTTTAGTCAATTAAAAACAGCTTTAAACTTAAAGAAATGAAACTGCTTCTGACTTTGACAAT